GAAACCCGTGTCTCTTGCCTCAATCTATGCTCAATGACTCTCTCCCAGAGCTTCATTGTATGACTCATTAGCTTAATACCCCTATAGTTCATGCAATTTTGTACGTCGCCCTTATTCTTGTAGATAGGCACCAAAGTGCTCGTTCGCCACTCATTTGGCATCTTCTTCGTTTTCAAAATCCTATTGAAAAGGTCAGTGAGCCATGTTATACCTGTCTCTCCCAAAACTTTCCACACTTCGATTGGTATATCGTCTGGGCCTATTGCTTTTCTATGCTTCATCTTCTTCAAAGCTACAACCACTTCTTCCTTCCGGATTCGACGATAAAAGGAGTAGTTTCTACACTCTTCTGAGTTACTCAACTCTCCTAAAGAAGCACTCCTTTCATGTCCTTCATTGAAAAGATTATGAAAATAACCTCTCCATCTGTCTTTAACCGCGTTCTCTGTAGCAAGAACCTTTCCATCCTCATCCTTGATGCACCTCACTTGGTTTAGGTCCCTTGTCTTCTTTTCCCTTGCTCTAGCTAGTTTATAGATATCCAACTCTCCTTCTTTGGTATCTAGTCGTTTATACATATCGTCGTAAGCCGCTAACTTAGCTTCTCTGACAGCTTTCTTCGCCTCTTGCTTCGCTTTTCTATACCTTTCACCATTTTCATTGGTCCTCTCCTTGTATAAGGCTTTACAACATTCCTTCTTAGCCTTCACCTTTGTTTGTACCTCCTCATTCCACCACCAAGATTCCTTCCAAAAATTCAAAACCCATATCGAAATTGAAGAAATTAGTAGCAAAAAACGAAGAATTTCAGTAACTTGATGCGAAATATATAAGCACACAAATTAAACCCTCTTTTTATCAATTGTAGCAACGTATGTAAGTAGGGATCGTTCTAGGCCGGGGATTATGAGGGATTGCTAAAACACTTAAAACTGACTCAAAAACATAAAACAAAGTTTAAAACACTAAACTAGACTCAAAGAATGCAAAACTAAACTAGAAAACACTAAAACAACTCAAAACACTCAAATCTGCCTAAACAACCCAAACTGGGCAGATTTGAACTCTAACACTCTTTTGGACGAATTTTGGGTTTTCCTAGACTCAAAACACTTAAAAACACAATCTAAAACATATTTTAACTAGTTAGACACTCTAAAGTAAAGGGGGGGGGGGGTTTGGTTTTGGACGAAAATCAAATAAAATAAAACAAGAATGACTCAAACTGATTTTAGACGAAATTGGGTGAATTAGATGGATGATTGGCTAGCTAGGAGATTCTTCTCCACACATGTCACACTTACATACAAAACGATTTCCAATTGCTTTTCAATAACCCATGAATTCTCAACGCCCTAAGTTAATTAGATACGCTTAAATTAACTTTCAGATTTTCCTTATGTCAATGAATTGGATGGAAAAAGCGCATCGCAATCAAATTATTCCTCAAAAGTTCCCTACATGAAAGCGCATAATAGAGATACAATCAAAGATCATTACATTCAATGAAAATCATAAGTATTGACGAGGCACTCGTAACTATGAAAGCACATGAAACTTATACCAAAAATTTACTTAACGCGATTGTGATTAACAACCTTTACTACTTGTGAATATAAGTTCATAACGATTAGGTGAGACTCCCTTATATCCTAGCATCATATTTATGCATGAAAATTAAGCGTGCACTCTCAACCAACACACACAAATCAGTTTTAATTCATATAGATAAGTAAATTGAATTCACAACTTATGAAACACAATTGAAAGTAATCAAATTATATAGCAAGCATGAACATGGTTTCGAATTCCCCCTAGCCAAGTGGGGTTTAGTTCCTCATAATCGCAAAGGAAAGATAAACAAATTTAGACATTGAAAACACAAGAAAGAAAACACCTAAACGCTCCAGCGATCCAAACTGAACAGCAAGCACGTCCAAGGCTTTTCCTCCTTCCTATTTGCCGCGGCACAAGGCTTAGGGATAGGTTTTGGGGGTTATGTGTATGGAGGAATGGATGGGAGATGGTGTGGTAGTGTTTAGGATGGATGGGTGGTGCGGCAAATGGTGTTTAGGGTCAGGAATTATGGAAGAATGGTGATGAAGGCTACGACAAATAACAAGGATGTGTTTCTGGCGTGAATGATGAATTATGAGGGGTGGTGGGTGCGGCAAAGGGTGAAATATCAATATATATAGGCATCTAAAACCCTAGGGAAATCATATATGGACTTGTAGAATCCAAATCCACAAGGAAAAAGGCTTAAACAATCAGAATCCTCAAGGGAAAAGGCCAAAAGGTGCGGCAGCTATGGAAAGAAAGGATAAGGCTTCTAGAATGCCTTGCAAGGCAAGGAAAAAGGGTTTCTAGAATGCCTTAGGTGCGGCAGGTATAGGGAATTGTTCTAGAACCTTTCTTTGTGTCCAAAAATGCTTAGGAAACCTTCAATGTTGTTGAAACTTAAGGCCATTTAGGTTTAGGAAAGATCAACCCAAAATAGGAAACTTTAGGCTTAACTTTCCTACTTCAAGTAGGAAACCTTGTTGGAGTAGGAATCCTCATTCTTCTAGGAATCCATCTTTGATTAGGAATCCTTCTTCAATTAGGACTCCTTCATTGACTAGGAATCCTTCTTCAATTAGGACTCATCACATCTTTAAATCTTCAATTTCGTCCATTGCTTTTGCTCCAAGCATGTGATATCCATTCCAAGCTCAATTTTTGCTCCAAAAAGCTCCAAAATGCATTGTTTTGCATACTTTGCCCTTAAAACCTGAAAACAAACGAAAATGGCTTAAAAGACTACATAACTAAGGAAAAACAACTTAAATGCACAAGAACTAGCTAACTAAGGTGCATAAATATGCTCCTATCAAATTCCCCCACACTTAGCTTTTGCTAGTCCTCGAGCAAAACAAAGAAACAAAACAAAACGAAATAAACGAAACACAACCTAAACCCTCCAACATTTGCCTCAGGGATTTCCAATGCACATGACATGTTAAAAATCATCATTCCCACAGATTTTAGTCATCTTTACACTTAAGCACATACTTAATCATAGTCACCACTTACTAGTTCACATTTAATCAATTAAAATGATGTTTTGAATGTAATAACATGCCTTATAGAATTCGCTCAATTCCTTACAAGATATGCACTCAATTTTCACTCAGATTTTCTAACTACACACCCTATACTAGTTATATGTGAGAAGATTGATGTAGACATGAAAACGAACGCTCACATATATGTATAACAAAGAAAGCAATTTCTAGAGTTAATAAGCATGTTTAGATATGATCTCATGAATGGAATGCTACTACTTAGATGCGAGAACCAGTGACACCATATGCTCATACCAATTTCAAACTCCACAAATTGAAATACACAACACTCAAGATTGAAGTCAAGGGTTGTAACGAGGTTTGGGGTATTGGTTAACAAAGAAAGATAGGGATAACAAAAGTTCTTAAAGCAATAGCAAGCAAAGTAATGAAATCGCAACTTAGAATTCACTTTAGAATGCAAAAATCACTTTTAAACACAAGGGGAGGATTCATGCAACACTTAGGGTCAAATTCAACTTTTTGGACCCTTTCTTCAACAATCAACACTTTAGAACTTGTTTTCACATCTTTTTCAACTCTTTTCCATTCTTTTCACAACTTTTCTTTTCTTCTTTCTTTTCTTCACGAATTTTTCTCTCTCTTTTTTTTTTCTTCTTTTCTTTTCTACCCGTGCCTCTTTAAAGACTTTGGCACACACACATAACAAATCCTTTCCCCCACACTTGTTTTCTGCAATACATTGATTAAAAGGAATTCAATTGAGTCATGCTTTACTATGCTTTACTATGCTTCAAGAACAAGGGTATGGATGGTCCTAATCTAGGCTAGGTGAGGATAGTATGGGTTAACAAAGAACATAGGCTACACAAGGCTCAACGGGGTTAAACTTAAACATATAATGAATTAGGGCACACGGCAATTTGGCTTTGGTGGTGGTCACTACACAACTTCATCTTGAACATGTGTTATGCAAATTAATAGCATGCTTTGAATGAAATTGGCATGAGTTCTAGCATTTGGAACTAAATGATGAAACGCCTTCAAAGTAGTAACCAAGCAAAGAATAATGAGATCATGCAATGACTTTAGAAAACAAGAATGCACAGATTATTAACTCTCCAAATAAACGTTTAGGCTCAAGTCTCACAAGGTTGTAGCGTTAATTTGAGTTCCTTCCTTCAAGCATGTTACAAAAACTGATTTTTCCTTTACGATTGCATGTGAATTCATAAGTTATAACCACAACCAAGCATAAACCAAAGAGTAAATCAAACTTTCATCCATGTTTATAATTCTCTTTAACAGTCATGCAATTACAAACCGAATCCTCATCATTGTGTTGGAAGGTACCCTAAGACACAAACAAACACACAAAAACAAATAAAAAAAACAACTCTTTTTGGGGTTTTTCAAAACAATTTTTCAAATTTTTATGAGATTTTCGGATTTTTATGTCAAAACACACTAAAATGCATCAAAATAACTTAAAAACACTTAAAAACAGCAAGGAACAACTTTGGAAGTTATGGGTGATAAAACCCCACGAATTTGCATCAAAAGCACTTATTTACCCCCCCCCCCCCACACTTAAATCAAACATTGTCCTCAATGTTTCAAGCATAAACTCACAAAAAAAAAAAGAACACATAAACAAACAAACAGCAACTAAACACACTAAACATGGCAGAAACGAAACCACAACAACAAAGAGAAGGGTTAGGAACGCAAATTTGGAATTGGAGTGATTCCTAGGTCTTCCTTTGTTGAGTGCATGGGTTGCCTCCCAAGAAGTACTTGCTTTAACGTCTTGCAGCCGGACGAAGAACACATTCACTCCCCATTGGAGCCCACGGAATGCTCCACAAAGTTGTCATAGTATGGCATCAATCGGTGCCTATTCACCTTGAATTCTTGTCCAGTTTTCATGCTTTAGATTTGGACTGCACCATGCACAAAAACATTAGTAATAACAAACGGACCAACCACTTGGAACGTAACTTACCAGGAAACAACCGAAGGCGGGAATTAAAGAGTAATAGTTTCTGCCCAATTGAGAATGATTTGCCACGAATCATCTTGTCATGGAAAGCCTTGGTCTTCTCCTTGTAAATCCGAGCATTCTCATATGCTTCATACCTAATCTCGTCAAGTTCATTCAATTGGAGCTTCCTATGTACTCCAGCGGCATCAATATCCATCTTAAAGGTCTTGACCGCCCAATATGCCTTGTGCTCAAGCTCCACGGGCAGATGGCATGACTTACCATAGATAAGCCGAAAAGGTGACATGCCAAAAGGAGTTTTGTAAGCCGTTCGATAAGCCCACAATGCATCATCCAAGCGCATGCTCCAATCCTTTCTTGTTGGACCCACGGTCTTCTCTAGGATTTGCTTGATCTCTCGGTTAGAAACCTCGGCTTGGCCATTTATTTGAGGATGGTAAGGTGTAGAAACCTTATGGGTGACATTGTACTTCCTCAACAATGCCTCAATGGTGTGGTTACAAAAATGGGAGCCTCCATCACTCACCTTGATGGACAGCAATTGTTCATCGGGGAATGTTTCAACAATAGGTAGGGACTCTTCATTATGCACCATTCGGCTTAAGTGGTCAGCCACCACGTTTTCACTTCCCTTCTTGTCTCGAATCTCAATGTCGAACTCTTGAAGTAGCAACATCCAACAAATTAACCGTGGCTTGGCGTCTTTTTTGGTGAGCAAGTACTTCAAAGCTGCATGATTAGTGAAAACAATTACTTTAGTACCAATTAGATATGAGCTAAATTTATCTAAAGCAAAGACAACGGCAAGAAGTTCTTTTTCCGTAGTGGAATAATTCAATTGAGCATCATTCAACGTCCGTGAGGCATAATAGATGACATGCGGCCTCTTGTCTTTCCTTTGTCCCAAAACAGCCCCTAAAGCATAATCGGATGCATCACACATAAGCTCGAAAGGTAGGCTCCAATCCGGTGGGACAATGATTGGTACCGTGGTCAACAACTCATTGAGTTAGTTGACTGATGCCGTGCATTCCCCATTGAAGTCAAACGCCACATTTTTTGTAGGAGTCGGCAAAGAGGTTGGGCAACCTTTAAGAAGTCTTTGATGAACCTACGATAGAAACCTGCATGGCCAAGAAAAGAACGGACCTCTCTAACAGAAGTAGGAGAGGGTAAATGACGCACAAGATCTATCTTTGACTTATCAACCTCAATACCGTTTTCAGAGATGATATGGCCTAAAACTATGCCTTGTTTAACCATGAAAGGACATTTTTCCCAATTAAGAACAAGGTTAGTTTCAACGCATCGTTTTAAGATCAAACTAAGATTATGCAAGCAACCATCAAAAGAATCACCAAAAACGCTGAAATCATCCATAAAAACTTCAATTATTTTCTCAACATAATAATAAAATATGCTCATCATACATCTTTGAAATGTGGTAGGTGCATTACATAAACCAAAAGGCATGCGACGATAAGCAAATGTACCAAAAGGGCATGTGAACGTGGTTTTTTCTTGGTCCTCGGGTGCTATGACAATTTGATTATAACCAGAATAACCATCAAGAAAACAATAGAAAGCATAACCGGCTAACCTCTCAAGCATTTGATCAATGAATGGCAAGGGGAAGTGATCCTTTCTTGTGGTGGCGTTTAGCTTTCTATAGTCGATACACACCCTCCAACCGGTTTGAATGCGAGTAGGCACAAGCTCTTTTTCGGCATTTGCTACCACTGTCACTCCAGATTTCTTTGGAATGCATTGAACGGGCGAAACCCACCTACTATCCGAGATTGGATAGATTACTCCACAATCTAAAAGCTTGATGATTTCCTTATTCACAACTTTCATCATAGGAGAGTTGAGTCGGCGTTGAACCTCTCGAGATGTTTTAGACCCCTCCTCCAAAAGTATGCGATGCATGCACGTAGTAAGGCTGATTCCTTTTATATCGACCAATGTCCATCCAATTGCTGTTTTGTACTCCTTTAGCACTCTCACCAACTTGTCCTCTTCTTGTACCGTGAGTGAGCTTGAGATGATGACGGGTAACGTCTCATCTTCTCCCAAGAAAACGTACTTCAAATGACTAGGCAAAGGCTTAAGTTCAAGTGTAGGTGGCTGCACAACTGAGGGAAGCATCTTATTAGTCGAAATTGAACTTAAAATTGGGTCCAACAACTTACTAGATTGTGGTGGCAATGATTCAAGGGCAACCACCATCTCAATAACATCATCACTAGGGGGCACGCAAAGGAGAATTCATGCATGCCGTGGGTTTGCATGGTTGCTGCTTCCATGTTTTGCATGTCCATTCCTCGTGCAATGACCAATTCAAGTGCATCGTCCTTCAATTTGTCAAAATGGTCCTGCGCCAAAGAGTCAATTATATCAATAGCAAAACATAAATGATTCTCACTAGGGTACTTCATAGAATCAGAAAGATAGAAATTAATAACTTCCCCATCAAATTCCATCGTCAATGTTCCATTAAACACATCAATCTTTGTACGGGCCGTTTTCATGAATGGCATTCCAAGGAGGATGGGCAATGAAGGGGCATGGTCCGACTCGTCCATCTTAAGCACGTAAAAATCTACCGGGAAGATTAAATGATTAACCTGCACTAAAACATCTTCCAAAACTCCCTTTGGATAGGCATTAGATCTATCGGCTAATTGTATAATTACACCATCATTTTTCAACTTTCCTAAGTTCATAGATGCATAAATTGAATATGGCATGACATTTATAGATGCACCTAAGTCTAACATGGCAGATTCAAAACGAGTCTTACCAATGACACAAGGAATTGTAAAACTACCCGAATCTTTGCATTTAGGGGGCAGTTTGCGTTGCAAGATGGCTGAGACGTTTTCACCTACTTTTACAACTTCCTTGGTCGAAATCCTCTTCCTAGTGGTACAAAGTTCTTTCAAAAATTTGGCATACCTCGGGACTTGCTTAATTGCATCCAAAAGGGGGATATTGACTTGAATTTTCTAAATGTTTCCAAAATGTCCTTTTCAGCCTCCTCTTTCTTTGATTGCATAAACCTACGAGGAAAAGGTACATTGGGTGGAATATGGTTAGTATTAATCGAAATTGGACCCATCTTACCTGATTTGGACGGATTGGATGGATTAGGGGATGTAGGAGGCTGCGGCATGGGTGCTTCCTTCCTTGCCGTGGCCTTGGCTTGATCCTCTTCTTCGAATTGCAACTTCTCGTCCTCTCTTTGGGCTGATTTAGATGGTTGTGGATCAGTTCCAACTTCTTTTCCACTCCTTAGCATGATTGCCTTGGCAGATTCAAAGCCTCATTTCGGATTCACAACGGTTGAACTATGAAGTTTTCCTTGTTCTCGGAATTGCCCATGAACTCCACAATCTGCCCTACTTGCTTCTCCAACTTGTCCACCTTTTTGTCCCTAGTTTGCATTCCCAGCGCCATAGAAGTTAGTAATTGAAAAATCTGATCATTATCAATAGACGAACCTGATTTGTTTTGGGCAGGTTGTGCTTGAGGTTGTGTGGGTGCAAACGGTTTTTGATAGAAACCCGGGGGTTGTTGCCTAAATGCACTTTGTTGTTGACCTTGTTGGGGTTCTCTCCATTTGAAATTTGGATGATCTCTCCATCCCGGATTGTATGTATTAGAGAAGGAATCATTCCTTGGTTGGTATTGATTCCCAAAGCCCACGGCATTGAGTGTCTCCCACCCTCCGTTCTCAATCAATTGTGGGCACTTATCTGTGAGATGTTCTTGCATGGAGCACACGCCACAAGCAGCCACATTTTGTACTTTTGGTCCTTCCACAACCTGAGAAAGAAGAGTAGTAAGGTTAGCCATTTGATTTTGAAGTTCGGAAATAGCACTTACCTCATTCACTTGGTGTTGTCGTGGGATGCTTCTTTATCCAACACCTTCATATTGTTGGGCATTCAACGCTCGATTAGCAATCAAAGTCTTTGCAGCCGTGGGGGTCTTGTCCACCAAGGCTCCTCCCGCTGAGGCATTTAGCATTTGACATTCAATTGGGAGAAGCCACTCGTAGAAGTATTGTAGAAGAAGCTCCTCATTCATTTGATGCTGTGGACATGAAGCAACAAGAGATTTAAAACGTTCATAATAAGTAGGAAAAGATTCACCTTCATCTTGTTGAATTCCACTTATCCTTTTTCGTAGAAGAATAACTCGAGAAGTTGGGAAAAACTTCTCTAAGAAGGCCTGTTTCATGCTCTCCCAAGATGTTACAGTTCCGGGAGCTAATTCATATAACCAATCTTTCTCCTTTTCCAAGAGAGAAAAGGGAAAGGCCTTCATCTTCAATATACTCACATCGACGTTGATGGGGGTCATGCTTGAACACACCACCTCGAACTCTTTCAAGTGCTTGTTGGGATCCTCCATGGACAACCCATGGTACTTCGGAATATGGTGCAGCAAGCTTGACTTCAACTCAAACTCCTCGGTCTTGCCTTGGGCAGCCGTAGGGTATTGGATGCATAGGGGTGCGGCATTGTCCAATCCCAAAGCGGAAAGCTCCTTGATTGTTCGGTTATCCGCTGCCATGTCTTGCACTACTTCACCCACCCTTGCCGTGGGTTCTTCTTCCTCAAACTCAAATTCGGCCTCTGAATTTGAACTTGATTCACTAGGTTCTGGATTCTTCCTCTTTCGTCTCAACTCTGGCTTGAAATCGTCGCCAAAGTCCAAGATATGTTCACGAACCGGATGAGAACTCCGAGTCATAAACTAGTACCTAAGAACAAGGAATTAAAACAAGGTCAGAATCTGGACTTAATTAAAACAAAACAAAATAAAAGATCCAAGGGATTAGCAACTTTGCTAATCCCCGGCAACGGCGCCAAAAATTTGATGCGAAATATATAAGCACACAAATTAAACCCTCTTTTTATCAATTTTAGCAAAGTACGTAAGTCGGGATCGTTCTAGGCCGGGGATTAGGAGGGATTGCTAAAACACTTAAAACTGACTCAAAAACATAAAACAAAGTTTAAAACACTAAACTAGACTCAAAGAATGCAAAACTAAACTAGAAAACACTAAAACAACTCAAAACACTCAAATCTGCCTAAATAACACAAACTGGCAGATTTGAACTCTAACACTCTTTTGGACGAATTTTGGGTTTTCCTAGACTCAAAACACTTAAAAACACAATCTAAAACATATTCTAACTAGTTAGACACTCTAAAGTAAAGGGGGGTTTGGTTTTGGACAAAAATCAAATAAAATAAAACAAGAATGACTCAAACAAATTTTAGACGAAATTGGGTGAATTAGATGGATGATTGGCTAGCTAGGGGTTCT